ATTGGAACCTCTGATCACGAAACAGGCCTTGAAACAGCGCGTTGCTTATCTAGCCAAAATTGTTGCGGGGGGAGGGGGGATGGCGGGTTACAATGTAGTAAGTGAAATAAGTGAAACTGAAGAGCCAAGCCTTTCCATATGTACTATGATCCGCCTTTAATATCACCGACAGAATGGAATGGAGAATGGCCCCAACTTAAAGCTCGAAATTGCAAGCGAGTGAGCAATGGCTCAAACTCTAACTGCTAGTATTCGTGATAAGAGGATTTCTGCCTACAAAGTCAAAGAGCTGAACTGTCCTAGGGGGAATAACTCTCCCAAAGAATATTCCAGTACATCGATATTTCTTTGTAACTGAAGCCTTCGCTTAATAACAACACAGATAATGAACCAACCAGAAGCAGACTCTCCCATGCCATCCATCGAATTGGCAGAACGAATTGCCCTTCGACTCGATAGTAATCATTTGAGTATAGACTTCGTGCCATTCCAAAATCAGCAATTTTCACATTCCCCTCCTCATCTACTAAGCAATTTCGGGCCGCAATATCTCTGGAAAGCAATGAATTACTCGCTGTTCATTCGGCCATCAATGGAGGGCCCATATTAAATGTCGCATACCTGTGAACGAAATTGCATGACTCTAAATAAGCCAGACCAGCAGCCAACTGCGTTGCCACAGAAATGCAATAGAGACTACTGAAATATCCGAATGAAATGGCCGTTCAGCTTCAAGGCATTGAAATAATGTTTTAGGCTTCCTTGGTAGGTAAGCAGCCCTCATTTCAAAAGTCAGGCAATTGATAACACTTTTTACAAGCAGGTATGGGGGATAGGTTTACAAATGAAGCACTCTCTTTTGCTTCGTGACCGAACTCACTCGACATTTTCCATTTTACTCATGTATGATCGCAAGTCCCCATTAACCATATATTCCATGATGCATATCATCGGCTTGTCGATCGTTGACACTCCAATCACCTCCACCACATTGGGATGTTTCAAATTTCCTGAATTGCAAGTTATTAGCTGAAGCTATCAGTACCAAAGTCAGGTAGTACCTGTGCGGAAAAGAAAACCATGAAGGCCCATCTCTAGAGATGTTTTAAATGCACATAGCCATGACGGGCATTGTGAAATACTGTACGAAGTCATTACCGTACAGATGTCTCTGATTTCTGTGGGATCTCTTAGATTAGAGATATCTAACGGGAGCAAAAGTTGTGATCATAGGTTACGCCTTCTACTCTATGTAGCTCTTGTAAAGTACTGTAGTATTCGCATTTCAGTGAGCTTATGAGCTAAACATTCTGCAATGAGAGGATCATTTATTCAAGGGTCAAAGGCGAACGTCCGTTGCGCGTGTCCGTCGAAAGTAGGTCACCGCGCCCACTTCGCGCGCGGCGCACTCCACTGAGGTCTCGAGATGACATTACAGTACCACCGAGTGTGAGTGGAGCGAACGATTTGCATTTGTCTGTGTTATCTTTTCTTTGGCTGACTACCGTGGAGAAAGGGCAAGTCGTA